AATGAGGGTCTCAGATTAGCTTCATAGATTTCCCACTCACCCGAGTCAAAGGCTGCTTTCTCCATCTAGAAAGCCTGATTATTTGATTTTGTCTTGAAATCTCCTCACGTCCTTGGGATCCACAGAGGCACAGACCACAGCACGTGACTCTGGATGGCAATGAGCAGCTTTCTTTTCTTTAATTAAATAAATAAATCCCTGGATTTAAGCCACAAAGCAAAATGAAGAAGGGAGGTTTTGGATGGAAATAGAAGTGGGAAATGGTCCAGTTAAAGCTTCAGGGCATGACTCACTCCTGCAGCCAAGCTCGCAGCTCCCCCCAGACATCAGCCTTGGCCTGATTGACAAGATCCTGCTGAAATGCTTTCCACCCCTCAGTCCCCTCTATTGGAAAATATCAAGTGTCACCCTTCAGATGCTTGTGCTCATTCGCTCTTGTATCTGAAACCAAGTTGCCCAGCTTTTACAGAGGGGAATCCCATACCATTCTATACAGTCCAGATTGCGGGTCAGAAAACAGACTCCAACAGTGTATTTCTGGCCCTACAACAGCCTGTTTATGTAAAGAAAGGGAAGAAGGAATGGGAAAATGAGGGTACTTTTTCTTTTTTCTTTAACCTTTATTGAAATATAGTCGATCTACGATGTGTTAGTTTCAGGTGTCAGGAAAGGGATTCCATGATACATATGTACATACACATACTTCTTAAGATTCTTTTCCATTATATGTTACTGCAAGATATTGAGTACAGCTCCTGTGCTTCTTGATGGCCCAGGGGTGAAGTATCTGCCTGCAATACAGGGGACGCGGGTTCGATCCCTGGGTCGGCAATGTCCCCTGGAGAAGGAACCCACTCAAGTATACTTGCCTGAGAAATCCCATGAGCAAAGGAGCCTGGCAGGCTGTAGTCCAGAGTCAGATCTGGGGTCACCAGAGCCAGACACAACTTAGCGACTGCACCACCATTACCACCACTCTGTGCTACACAATAGGTCCTTGTTGTTTATCTATTTTACATAAGGTAGTCTGAAAAGGGAAAAGTATTAGTCGCTCAGTCATGGCTGACTCTTTTTCGACCCCATGCACTGTAGCCTGCCAGGCTCCTCTGTCCTCAGAATTCTCCAGGCAAGAATACTGGAGTGGGTAGCCATTCCCTTCTCCAGAATATCTTCCTGACCCAGGGATTGAACCTGGATCTCCTGCATTGCAGAGTCTTCTTTACTGCCTGAGCCACAGGGAGTCACCCATTAGTATGTATATTTTAATTTCAAATTCCTAATTTATCCCTCCCCAATGCCTTTTCCCTTTGGTAACCATCAATTTGTTTTCTATGTCTATTAGTCTGTTTCTGTTTAGTAAATAAGTTCATTTGTGTCATTATTTTTAGATTCCACAAATAAGCAATACCATATGGTATTTGTCTTTTTCTGACTTACTTCACTTAGTGTGACAGTCTCTAGGTCCAGCCATGTTGCTGCAAATGCCATTATTTCATTCTTTTTAATGGCCAGATAATATTCCATTGTATATATGGACCACATCTTCTTTATCCATTCATCTGTCTATGGACCTTTAAGTGGTCTCCATGTCATAACTATTGTAAATAGTGCTACGAACACTATGGTACATGTATTCTATCAAATAACAGTTTTCTCCAAACATGCCCAGGAGTGAGGTCACTGGAGAGGATCCAGTGGAGAGGTGGAAGGTGTCACTGGAGAGGACACTTTCTTTCATTCAACTTCTCTTTCCTTTGCCTACCTCTCTAGAGTCAAGCTCTGAGGGTACAAAATGCTGAGTGATGGGCTTGTTGTCAAAGAGCTGGCTGTGTGTATATTTGGGATAGTGGTAGGTTATATCTGGCCAAGAAGTAAAAAGTTGAACATCACGGTGAATTGCAACCACTTCAAAATGTTGAAAGAGCCATTAGTTCATTACGATGATGAGCAGGGAAAGGTTAACAATAGAAAGAAATGTTGTTGTAATAAATGTGTTTTCATCAGAGTCTAGAATAAATTCTGGATAACAGTCAACCAAATTATGTGAATTTGACACTGGCATTACACCGAATTAGCAGGTTATCAATCAACAAAAAATGGAGGAAAAAAGAGAGGATGTAATCAGTGTTCATTTAAAAGAAATTTTTTTGTACTAATAACTTATCAGTGTTAGGAAACATGATGAGTATTAGATAGGAGACAAGAAGTGGGAAACATAAGCATGAGTTTCTTTTGGAAGGATGAAAAATTTAGAAAAGCATGTAAGGTTACAAGTGCTGGGTGGTGTTGGTTAGAAAAGAATGGGTTGAAAGAGGGAAATGTTACAGAACAAGTTAGTAGAAATAGGGGATGTGTTAGGTCAGTTAAATGCAACTAGAGAGTTCAACAAGACATTATGGAGAACAGATAAAGAGGAAACTGCAAAATATCGACCACCTTGTGGGGATAAGAGAAGACCCATGACTAGTTAGGGTTTGTCCAAATGAAGCAGAGGCTGTAACCAAACTAAAAACCCCTCTACAGGCGTCCCTGGATTAGATAATTATAATGAGAATACATACATGCAAATAAAGTAGAAGGTGACTTGGGGTCAATCCGTAGTCTAATTAGCTGCTGCTTCTGGGGAAGATGGAGTGAACTTTGGGAAGTGTTTGTGCCAGGTACAAAGCACTGGAAACCAGGACAGAAAACTTACAAGGATGTACTGAAAGGTTGTGGAGTCTTTCTGCTCAGGGAACTTCCTGGGGAACAGAGACCCGATACATCTTGCACTGATACAGTCACAGATCATGTAAATAATAAGCCTAGTGCTATGGATTTACCTCTTCTCACCCACCCTCGGTGAGAGGAGGTGAGGAAAGTGAGTTCACAGTCTCTTTTTCTCTTCCCTCCTCCCAGTATTTGAAAAGGTGGGTTAGAGGACTGCTCAGCAGGACAGCAGGCAGTGGCAGGGGACAAAGTGTGGAGGAACCTTGAAAACATGCTTAGTGAAAGAAAAGTCACAGAAGACTACATATTGTATGACTCCATTTATATAAAATGTCCAAACAGGCAAGTCTATGGAGATACAAGCTCATCACAACCTATTCTTCTAGCCTCCCCTCTTCCTTTGAAACTAGCTTGCACAAAGAATGTAGACAGGAGTTGAACCAATCATGTAGTGTTTCTCAAAGTGTGGTCCAAGATGACCCACATCAAGATCATTGGGAGAACTTATTAAATATGCAGATTAGAAGGCCAGCCCAAACTCACCAAACGAGAACCTCTGGAGATGAAATCTGAAGCAGCTCACTACCCCACCCCTTCTGTGAGTCTCATTCCAGTCACCAGGCTTCTACTTTCTATGGACATTACGTGTGCAGTAGGACAAATCTCAGCGGTTGGCACAATTTTAGGGAATTTTCAGAGGAAGGGATAGTAGTGCCTTCCTGCCCAGAAAATCAGCTCCCCTCTGCTTCCTCTGTGGCTGGCTCCTTGTCTCGGTGTATGAACAGTCTCCAGGAGGACTCTGCCCTTAGCATTTAGCACCCCTGCAAGTTGAAGTCCCAGCTTTTGCTTTCTCCACACTCGTCCCTCTTATCCCCCAAATTCTGCCCTATTCATACCCTGCCCCAAACACTCCAGAACACTCAGAAGTCTCATTTTAACTAACTCAAGTCTTTCCATGACCTTTAACAGTAACTTGTTTACCTCAATAGGCTCCTGGCTAGTCTTTGCTGTTGTTGTTAGGCCAGTTTTAGGTTCACCGCAAAATTGAGCACTAAGCAGAGTTCTCATATGCTCCCTGGCCCAAAACACACACAACCTCTCCCACTATCAACATCCTACGCAGAATTCCCTGGAGGTCCTAGTAGTTAGGATTCCAGGTTTTCACTGCCATGGTCCAGGTTGAATCCTTAGTCAGGGAACTGAGATCCTGCAAGCCACAAGACATAACCAGAAAAACCCCCTCCCCCCGCCCCCGCCAAAACATCCCACACAGGAGTAGCACATACATTATAACTGATGAAGCTATACAACACATCATTACCACTCAATAGAATTTATATTATGGGCTCACTTTTCTTTGGCTGCACTGGGTCTTAGTTGCCGCATGCAAGATTTTCGTTGCAGCATGCTGTTAGGTGTGGCATGCGGGATCTAGTTTTCTGACCAGGGATAAAAGCTGGGCCCCTGCATTGACAGCACAGTCTTCAGTCACTGGACCACTATGGGAGTCCCAGGGTTCACTCTTGGTGTGGCATGTTCTATGGATTTCAACAAAGGTATAGCAGCATGGGTCCATCATTACATTATCACACAGAATAGTCTCACTACCATAAAAACCATGTGTTCCACTGACTCATTCCTCTCTCCCCCCAACTCTCAATATTTTTACTATGTCTCCATAGTTTTGTCATTTTTCCATTGTATGCAGCATTTTGAGATTGGCTTCTTTCATTTAGTAATATGCATTTACATTTCCTCCATGTCTTTTCATGGTTTGAGAGATCATTTCTTTTGAGCTCTAAATAATATCCCATTGTTTGGATGCACCACAGTTTATTTATCCACTCACCTAACTAAACTCATCTCTGTTGCTTCCAATTTTTTGCAATCATGAATAAAGCTCCTGTAACCCTGGGTGCAGGTTTTTGTGTGGACTTGTTTGCATAAGTACCAAGGAGCACGAACTGTTGGATCATATGCTAAGAATGCTTAATTTGTAAGAAATAGACAAATGGTTTTCCCAAGTGGCTGTACATTTTGCATTCCCGTCATTCTTGTGCCTCCCCACCCTCACCAGCATTTGATGATGTTTTAGACTTTGCCCATTCTAATAGGTGTGTAGTGGTATCTCATTTTGTTAATTAGGCACCTAGTTTTTAAACAACTACTCTTTTCTCCATGGTTTTGGGGTCCTGTTTTAAACTTTTGCACTGCAACTTATATTATTAAAAATGGTCTTATTAATAAACATTTCTTAAAACTAACTTTCTCTTTCTTCCTTTTAAACATAGATAAATGCAGAGGGCACACCAGAAGAAGTTTTTCTTCAACTCTGCACAGCTATTGACTCTATTTTCTGAAGGCAAAAAACGCATGTATGTTGAGAGTGGAACAGAGAAAAATATTAAAAGGTTCATCGCTTAACACAGTATGTTTCAATTTAAACCTGTGTGTCCCCCGCCTCGAAATCCTGACATTGCTGTTTGCTTCCCAGCTTGACCTGAGAGGTGTGTGGAAATCATGCATGGTGTATTTGGTATTACCCAGCCTTTTCTTCCTCAGTCAGACAGCAGTCTGCACTCACAGCACGCACTCTTTTCTGTCACCTCAGAGCTAAATTAGTATGTGAACAGCAGTGCAGTGCCCATCTGTCAGGTGTGCCTTCAGAACTAATCATTTGATTCTACTCGCCTCAGAGAGGGAGGAGTTAGTGTCTTTAACACCCCATCACATCTCCCTTCCTCTCTTCAAGATTTGTTGTTACCTAAGGCCCTTAATATGGGGGGCAAGCTGGAGCATCTCCCTCTGCAAGCTGTTTCCTCAAAGTCTCATCCAGCTCAGAATCACAGAGATTGGGTTAACAAGTGAACACCAACTGTTCCTAAGAAATTTGATTAAATTTCTAAAAAAGTTATGAGCTTTTTAAAATTTGAAAGTGCATAGCTTTTTCAAAGATAGCAAAATCTAGACTAGTCACCCATAACATTTCTCTATTCATTTCTGTAAAACTGGCAACTTGGAATACTGTCATGGATACTTGGAATACTGTCACATTGGCTAAAAGAACAAATTGGATAAACTGTCTTAGACTCTTCTATAAAATAGTTGGTGCATCTGGGGAATTATACATTAATACCAATGACCACACAGAATTTCAAAGCATGAGGTGATTTGTTATTGCATTCACTGGACTAACGTCAACTTATGCCACCTGTGTAGTTACCAAGCAAATAAGAAATGTAATAACAAAACTGATGTGGGAGGAAGGGGCCTGTCAGTACACGATGTTTTAACAGAGTTTAATGTTGTATTTCTTCCATAAAGGCCCTTTACAGAGGTTTGCAAACCTTATATCCATATGTAAAATTGTGTTTCCTCAAAATCAAACCAGTGAAGTTTGGGTTCTCTTTTGTGCTACCAGCTGCCAAGTCAGAGTTTCTTATATATTCTACTGGAATAATTGCAATTAGTCACTACAAAAGACCACAGTTTCAGTTTGCATGATTTTTTTTTTTCCCCTTCAATGGTTGTGCAGGATTGAAGGATTCATTTCTGGGACAGAATTGTATTTTTAAAATCTTTTTTTTTTTCCTTGAAATGGATATGTACAAATAAAATAAATGGAACACAGGATAACTCTTTTTCTATTTATTTGTAACTCACATCATTCTGGAAAGCATTTGAAGCCTTATTCCAAACAGAATTTCAAAGGCAAACACAGTAAGTTGAGATTTATGATATGCTCATATGGTTTTAATTTTGGCCATAGATCAGTTTTGAGCTATTACAGAGAGCACTCTCAGTGTATTCATGATACATGGTAATTTTCATATTTCCTTTTACTTTAGCAGTCATTCTTAAACAGAAATGTCAGTGTTTGCTAAAGAAGAAATTAAATTTCTTTGGTTACAATTACGTCTCTATTAACAAAAAGGGGCATGTTCCTACAGCTCACACAGTTGTCAAATACTTTATTACTACCCCCAAGTTGTAACACTCTCTAAAGGGGAACACAAGGAGTATTTGAGCAAATTAGAGAGAGAGTTACAGGATGAAAATTATCAGTTGTGCCAGAAAACACAAAATGACTGTCGAGATTAACATTCTTTAAACACATACCACATACTGGTAAACAGTCTATGCCCACCACAGCTTTGACAGACAGCAGGGCAGCAGACAAGCTCAGCCATGGCTTTGATGACTGCAGTTGGCTACCCTCTTAAGAAAGAAAAATTAGCAGGGGTAAATGGCTTTGCCCCCAAGAGTATCTAGAGGTGCAAATCAAGTCTCCTACAAAACTGCTAGAACAGTCTACTGATTTGAATGGCTTGACATGACATCACTAATAAGATTGTATAGTAGGAAAGGACCTTAGAAGTCTCTGCCCCTGGAAGAAGACCTTGTCTGTATGTATAAAATATCAAAACACAAACTCCTTTACAGTGATCCACATTCAGAGCCTCACTTGATCTGGCCTTGTAGCCTTTCTCATCCCAACAGCCACCACTGTCCTCTTGCTCATCTGGTTCAAAGGACACTGGCCCTCTGTTGCCTGAACAAGCTAAGCTCGCTACTGGATCAGGACCCCTGGCTTTGCTACCCTTCTGCCTCTTCCTCCAGATTATCCACAAGGCTAAATCCCTCACCCCACTTAGGTCTCCGTTCAAGCTGACTCTTGCTGAGGTGTTCTCTGAGTACTCCTTCTAAATGACAGACTGGTCCTGATAATTCTTTTTTTTCCAAGCATTATTTTTCTTCACAGCATTTATCTCTGCCTAAAATTATATAGTATTTTTTATTTACTTGTTCACTGCAGATCTTCGGCATTAGAATATAAGCTTCAGAAAGGCAAGGCTCCATATCCTCAGTTCCACACATAGCCATCATTATGGAGGGCTAACACTTAAATCCTCTGAACCTTGGTTTTCTCATATGTACAGTGGAGGTCACAACCATAAGCAGCCTCATAGATGTGTTGTGAGGATTAAAGAGGTCAATAATACATGTAAATCATTTACTAGTTCCTAGTGCTCAGTAAAAGGCAGTCCTTTGTCAACATTTATTGAGCGACTCGTTTAAACAACTGAAACTAGGACCCAGAATTTCCATTCTAGCTTTATTACATCACTCTAAAAACACAGCAGAAAATGGGGTCCCAGAGAGGACCAAAATCTCAGCCACCTAGGTCTGAACCACATCCTCTAGATAAGACAGGATGTAATAATCCTTGAGTCCTCCCAGAGCCCTCCAAAGTTCTCCTGAGGCAAACCTTCTAAGGGTCCCACAGACAAACTCGCAGACACTCAGGCATAGGTGGTTTCTCTAACTTTGTAGAGAAAAAAATGTAACCAAAACATTGGTCCTATTACCAATAAATATTTATTGAGAATCTACTAAGAGCCAGACCGTAGGTATAAAGGTAGACACAGATGGTCTCTGTCTTAATGGAGCTAAATGTGACACCATGCTCAAAAATCCATTTAATCAGCTACTTGAACTTTAAGGGAAAAGGTTCCCCCCAGGCCACCTCAGGATCATATAAATAGAAGCACACTGTTCATCAAGATATGAAATAAAAACTTTTAGAACCTACATAGAACAATACCTGCATCATCTTGTGGAAAAACCTACTTGTTATCTGGAGACTTTCAAGTCCATTCAATGTACCTAGAATAACAGCCTTCAAACTTTGTTACCCACAGTAAGCAATATAGAAATTTATATAGCATGCCACTCTTATGTTTATAACATAGAATTTTTGCAAAGTATTTATCCTTACTACATGTCATATACTTTTTCATTTCATAAAAAAATGTTCTTTATACCCCAGTAAATTGTTGTGTCCTGCAATTTAAACAAAAGAGAAAAGGAGAGAAAAATGGACATGACATACTATTATGCTGAGAGGTACCAAACATGCAGGGAAAACAAACTGTACCTGAGGCAGGAGACCCAAGCCTTTAGTCCCAGCTTTGCCTAAAGCCTCATGACCACATGTTTGCTGTGAAATTAGAATATGTAAGTTATATTTGTTTCCTTAATTCATCACAGGGCAGGCTGGGTGCTTTTTCCTCATCCACAGATGTGCTTCTCTATTCTGAGCTAAAAACCTGGATGTTTGCTCAGATTTATATTCTAGGGTGCACAGCACACCAGAATAAGACAGAAAAGCAACTCCTACACACCTTCACCTCCAATACCTTGGTGACCCCTGACAAAGGGAATATTCTTGTGCAGGAAATAGGATAGTGAGGCAGATGCTGACCTGGGAGCAATCTGTCTGGGTTAAAATCTAAGCATCACCATGTTACTAACCATATTGTCCTTGGGCAAGCTACTTAACCTCTCTGGCTAGATTTCCTGCTATGAAAACAGGATAATAAATGAACTTGCCTCATAAAATTATAAGAATTAAATCTGTTACTATACGCTTGCTTGGCACATAGTAAGCACTCTATCAGTGTTTGCTATTATTCTTAGCACATATCACGCCAAACAAAATTCCCACTGCCTAAACCTGAAAGCAGTGGTTTTAGGTGTCCTTACAAGTTCTTAAAGGAGATCAACCCTGAATATTCACTGGAAGGACTGATGCTGAAGCCAAAGCTCCAGTATCCTGATCATCTGATGCGAATAGATAACGCACTGGAAAAGTCCCTAATGCTGGGAAAGACTGACAGCAGAAGGAGAAGAGGGTGTCAGAGGATGAGATGGCTGGGTAGCATCACTGATGCAATGAACATGACCTCGGGCAAACTCCAGGAGACGGTGAGGGACAGGGAGGTCTGGCATGCTGCACTCCGTGGAGTCACAAAGAGTCGGACATGACTGGGCGACTGAACAACAACAAAAGTTCCTTCAGTTATTAGCAAATAACTTGAGTATAATATTTCAGAAAATACAACTGACCTGTTGAATACTACTGAATAAGTGATGCTTTAACAAGTAGGACTATGTTTGTCTCAATGCCAATGCTTCCATGTAGGAGATGGAAGGCCTACTTGCAAATGACAACGCTGCCCATTCCTGCAGTCTTCAAATTAATACAACAATACACATTACCACTAACTATTGCCCTTTTAAAGTCATGAGGACTATTTGCTTGGAGCTGAGAAATGCAAACTAAACACATCTTCGCTTAGGCAGAAAAGAATCCTCTTTGTCACTCAAAATTTTCAAAAATCTTTTGCCCTTAAAAAAAATTTTTAAGTGGATTTATTCTATTCTTTTTATAATAACAATTGTTATCACTCTTTCAAAGAATACATCATAGTTTATGGGATTTTTGAATGGCTCTGAATGGTTCTTCAAAATTGATTGGTATTATTCCTATACAAACATAAAGGTTACAGAAGTTACCATCAGTGCTACCTACTATCTTACTACAAGTTGAAGGTAGAGCTTCTGGAATATTCACTCGAAATTTCATAGCCAAATGCCCAAACTGCGGATTTCCCTCTTCTTCCCCCAACTAATAATTTCAGGGCATAAAGTTTAGCTCAAGTCCATTTCCCTTTTTTCTGATGTGATATATTTTACCAAAATCATCAGTATACTTTAATCAATATATTACTTTTAAAATTCTCATATTTCTATAGTTAAAATTATATTACTTTTCTCAATTAAAAAAATTCAGGGTATAATTTCAGTACACTACAATGTATTGAAGAGGACTAGTAAATAATGTCCCCTTGATTTAAAACTGGAAAAAACAGGAGACTAAAAATTGTGTCAGTGTACCTAGTTAATCTTAGAATATTTACATTTTCCATTAGTCAATAATAATTTCCAGAGAATTACAGTGATTTTCAAAAACTACTTATTTAACATATGGGGAGACTCAAAAAGAATGAGTAAGAATTTTCAACATTAAGTTTAGTTTTCACATCTGGACATTAATTATTGCCTTTTTTCTTTAACCATGGTATGCATTCTTTTTTTAAACCTAGTTTAGTGTTTCAGCAAACACACTGAGTAAAAACATTACCATCTTTTACAGAGTTTCTCAAGTTTACTCTTTTCCATCATATAGTCCATATTCTTCTTAAAGAATAGGTAAAGAAAAAAAAAAACCCTTAAAAAATTTTTTAACACTCATTAAAAAAAAAAAATCCAAAATCTAACCAAAGGAAGTCACAACAAGCATTCTATAATATAAACAGACAGTATCCACATAGTTTATTTCTCACAGTTCTCCTGACAAATGAACATTATTCAAGAACATACTGTATACACAGATAAGAAGAAACATACAAAATGTTTTAAATGATGCACAACAAAATCCAGCAGTATAAAAGAATGCATGTGAACTCTTGCTCACTGCACAGACTAAATTTAATCACTTGTTTAAATAGTAATAAAAATACAATCTTTTATGGATCTTGTGCAGACTACAAAAGAGGGAAATTATTATCATATATATGATTTTTATATTAGGCAGTTTTCTTCAATGAGTTGCACTGACAACTCCAAATACAGAGGCAGAAGGCTGTGTATTTTAAAGAAATTAATATTGTGAATTAGAGACTTTACACAGTTACTACCACTGGCACTTTTCACCATAGTTTGTACACATCACATGATCATCTTATATAACGTTACATTTAAAAAATATATCTGAGTGACAATTCTGTAACATTCACACACCAGGAGCTGGTTAAGGAAGCAACGCCGCAGCTGCCTCCCGTAGTGCTTCACTGTTGGTAATGAGGACGTTCACTCTGGTTAACAGAAGTTAGACATCAATATGGTTAAGCAGCTCCAATCTACTAAAGGCCATCGGGGCCACCACTGGGACAGTGAGTTCTTTTAAAGTGTATATATCCTAGATGCAAACACCATCATTGGTTAAAACTTTGTCTAAAGAAGTCAGTTTCTGTGCTGGAAACTATTTTCACAAAACTGAAAGCTACTAAACTGTTTTAATATAAATACTTTGTCTTCTCATTAGCATATTTATGACCAAGTCTCTGAAACCTTTGGAATTTACTCTCTTTAATATGTGCTCTCGTTTCCATTTCCCCCATTTACGATCACCACCTAAAAGGCTTTCAGGTGGTGGTGAGAATTTCACCAGGGAAACCCTTCGCTCACCAGGAATGTTCAGCTGCTGAACAGTGATCTAGAGCCACAACGGTGCAGAGCTGGACTTGACGAGAACACTCAGGAAGCTGTCATGCTGTGAGTGTCATTTCAGGGAAAGCAGAGAATCTTTCCAAACTGTGCACATAATTCACAATGATACCATTGCTATGTGTTGAAGAGGACTAGTGTATGATGTTCTCTTCCATGTCATCTGTTTGCTGGAAAGTAGTTTGGGTCAAGGTAATTATAACTGGTGCCCTGGGACACACAGTAGTCTCTGTCTAAGAATGTCTCTGACCGATAAACAGGTTCTAGTTGGTGATCTTCCTTGTGAATGTCTGTTTCATGAAGGCTGCAATAAAAACACACACAAACACATCATTACATGGCACTGCTTGCATTTTGCTGGAGATATTCTCAAATTTTCTCATGGCTCTTCCTGTTTAAATCCATTAATCAAAATCTCTAATGGAAAGTTACTTGATGTGGTATGAATAAGGAAAATTTCTTATTTGTCTAGAACAGCAAGGTTTAGTGCATTAAATGTGGTGGTTTTCTAAGTAGTTTAAGAAATCAAACTCACTAGTAGCTGAGAAGCTCTTGTCAAAATGTAAGACCTATGGAGAAGGAAACACTTACCAGTCTGAACAAGAATCACAGAAATCCAAAGACATTTCCGGAGGACAATCCTGGCAATGCCACCGAACACCCTGGATAGGTTCTATGCCACAGTTATCACACTAATAAAGATTCAGAGAGAAAAAATATTAAGCTAAAATCATCTGCAAGCCTGGGCATTTTATTATTGGTAGTTATTTACTTGAAAGGTACCTCAGACCAGTATACAATGACTGTGATTGAGAAGCACTGAAGTAATACCATAGTTAAACTATCCAAATATGCTACAGAACTATTTAAAACAGGTTACCATAACTAACATAAATCCAAGTGAACACAAAATCTGCTCTGAACTTTTGTCTTACTCACTTTCCAAAACCAAGAAGGCTCCTAATAACCAATGCCCACCAAGAAGAAAAGGCAGGTTTAGCTCTTTCTCAATGTTGTGACATTGTGGGAGCCAAGGTGTGTTCTGTGGAACTTAGAAATCAAAGTAAATGTCATTTCTAGTTTCTCTCATCATCAGGCCAACTAGAGTGGCTGGCACACTGGCAAACTAGCCACAGCTGGGTTTTGCAACAGAATTATGAGAAGTAGAGACAGTTTCCTCCTGAAAAGACAGAGTTGTCAATTAGGAAAATCTTTAAAGGGAGAAGCAGGACCACTGAAAGAGCAAGAGAAGAAAATCACTTAATACAGTCTGGCTAATGGTCACTCTAGAGGATTAGAGGTACAAGAATTTTGTTTTAAATTTATCAGTCACAGCATACATCAGTATTTTTATGTATACCACTACCAGTGAATCTGTAGTTCATGGCCTCAATTTTACTTCCTCTAATTCCACCAAGTATAATCAATTCTAACACTTATGGTGTTCTCAAACCTGTTAATCCTTCTATTTCCACACCCATCAATCAAGTTCAGGACATTGTCATCTTTTGTCTAAATTAACCAGGAGAATCTCCCAACCAGTCTCTGTTGTTAGCCTTTCTTCCTCTTCATTCTCCATATTAAGGCCAGGGTGATCTTTTTCCCCCAGTTACATAAAAAAGTATACAAGAACAAATTATTATTTAAAGATTTTAACAATACTATAGTCAGAGATTAAGAGTTACTCTCTATAAACCCACTGCCTTCCTAAGAGTTATATATTTTAAGAAAATAGAATGATCTTTCCCAAATGTAAATTTCATATTACTCTCTGCTTAAAATTCTTCAAAGGTTCTCCAACACTTAAGGAGAAAAGTTGGCAAAATTTCCAAGCAACTGAATAGCCTCTTACTACTCTCCAGTATGTAATCTAGTCATACTCAACTATTTCACTCATTTGACTTCTCTAAATCACTTATGAAATGAAAACAGAGTAAGGGAAGGGAGTCTGTTTATCGCTGAATCCCCTAGCACTTAGCAAAGTGCCCGGAATATAATGGGTTCGGGTCAAAATTTTGTGGAATGAATAAATGTATTTCTACTAGACTCACAAAAAAGAGCAGAGATAACTGAATCTGAAAGGGGAAAATAAGTTTCTGATCCATGAACAATAATAACAACCAAATAGCTCTATAGGTGAATGGATGGATAAAGAAAATGGTGTTCTCTGTCTTCCTCTATACACACACACACACAGAGGAATATCATTTGGCCGTAAGACAGAAAGAAATCTGTCAAAGCCATTTGTGACAACATGAATAAAACCTAAGGACATGACGCTAAATGAATTAAGTCAGACACAGAAAGACAAATGCTGTATGATCTCACTTAAATGGAGAATAAAAAAAGTTGAATTCAAAGCAGCAGAGAGTGGAGGTTGCTGAGGGTGGGCAGGGGCTGCAGGGCCTGGGGCAGGAGGCAGAGTATGTGTGTCACTGGTCAAAGGGTATAAGCTTGTGGTTATGAATAAGTTCTGCAGATCTAAAGTCCAGCACGATGTGTGTGTGTGTCTGTGTGCGTGCACAGGTGTGCTCAGTTGTGTCCAACTCTCTGTGACCCTACGGACTGTAGCCTGCCAGGTTCCTCTGTCCATGACGTTTGTTAGGCAAGAATACTGGTGTGGGTTGTATAATTATAAACTGGTAAGTATACAGAGGAAAAGGGTGTTATGTGAATTTATAATGGAGGGACTAATACGTGTGTGCTCAATTGTATCCAACTCTGCGACCTTATAGACTGCAGCCCACCAGGCCTCTTTTCACGGAATTTTCCAGGCAAGAACATTGGAGTGAGTTGCCAAGCGATCTTCCTTACCCAGGGATCAAACCCACATTTCTTGCATTGCAGGGGATTCTTTACCACTGAGTCGTTGGGGAAGCCTTTACAGTATGATATATATAGTTAATAATACTGCATTGAATACCTGAAATTTGCTATGAGAGCAGATGTTAAGTGTTCTGTCTCAAAAAAAACAAGATAACTTTGTGAGATGAACTTTTTTTATATCTTAAACATTTTTTACACCTTAAAATAGATACAATTTTTGTCAGTTATAGCTCAGTAAATTTGGGAATAGCTAGAGAAAAATTTTGCCTCTCATATACTACCTCAAAGTTGCCTACAGCCATACCACCCTGAATGCACCTGAAAGTGTTAGTCACTCAGTCATGTCTGGCTCTTTGCAACCCCATGGATTAGGTTGCCATTCCCTCCTCTAGGGAATCTTCCCAACCCAGGAATCAAACCTGGGTCTCTGGCACTGTAAGGCAGATTCTTTATCATCTGAGCCACCAGGGAACACACCTGATCTCATCTCATGTATTACCTCAAAGTACACCTGTATATTTTTCTTCTTTCTACTGAATCATAAATCTCGACACCAGTAACTGACACACTACTCTGTATAAACGAACAAACAAAAGCTAAACTTACTTTTATCTGTCTGCTTGAAACTTGTGGAGTTGAAAGCTCTGAAAACCACCTTAAATATCTCTTATCACCCTTTCAAAAATTAAATGAATAGAAAAATTAAGTAGAATTTACCTTGAATCCTACATGCTGCACAAATCCACTTTCAGCTTGCATTTGCTGAAGTTTTTGTTTTTTTAACTTTTTAAACTGTAATAGTTCCTTATATTCAGGTAAATTCCTATACATGATAGGAATACTTTCTTCATCCTATTGAGAAAACAAAAAACAAAAAACCCACAAAACAGTTAGTTTGACAATTAAAACAAATTAGTATGAGAAATACTGATAAAGAATATTTTTCTATTGACAAGGTGCTTTTCACATTTAAAGAGACCCATAACCTTTTAGGGCTCATAGGAAATCAGTGCTTGTACCAGCAATATTTTAGACTAATACTTCTGGAGGGCTTCTTAATGCAACAGTAATACTAAACTCCAGTAGGCAGCTTCATAATGCAAGTACCAGGGAACAAGGCATGACTCCCACCTCTGCTATACCATAGACTAATGCAAACTCAACCCCTTCCCAACAAGTTCATGGAGACCTGAAAGACTCCTTATAATCTACTTCTTCCTGAGCTGCAGGAAGCTCCTCTTCACGTCTAACAGATTTTTATGCTTCCTCAGGTAAATACAAAATTTTCTTAAAACAGGCAAAACAATCTCTACTCTGCCTCTGCTCAGCACTCCAATGATCAAAACAGTACATTTCTCTTAAATGGATGAACTTAAGTTACAAAGATGATCATACAGAACTGAGTATAAAGAATAGTAAAAACTACATAAATATATGAAGTTGAAGCTGACAGATGAAACACTAACTGCTTGCTATTCTCCCAATTTATTTGTGCTCTGCCACCCAGTATCTATTTCTTTCCTTTGCTACCTCATGACTGATCCCATGGTCACTGATTCCCACAATCCTCCTAAAAAACACCTTCAATTCATTAATCCCATGTTCCATCAACTTCCAATTCTGGACCAGACAACCCCTGTACGTCCCATTCCTCCTGCTTCTCATGTTAAATATTATTAGTACTATGTTTATATTGTATCAAGGAAAATGATGTTTATAGAAAGAACAGCATTTGCCCAATTTCTCAAAATTGGCTAAGATGGTAAGTTTTATGTTATGGGTATTTACCACAATTAAAAATAAAAATTCCAAATGCTTTAGTCATTAAAAAAGAAAAATCTAAAAAGAAGAAAGAAAAATTTTGCCATCTGCAGCATGAAGGATGGACTTGGGGGCAATTAAGTGAAATAAGTCACTTATTTGGAGAAAGACAGATACCATGATTTCACTCATACTAAAAAATAAATACATAAACAAAACCAAAAACACACTCAAGTATAGAGAACAGATTGGTGTCCCTCCCACAGAGGCAAAGAGTGGCAAGGGTGGGAAAAATGGGTAGAGGGGGTCAAATGTATGCTGACAGATGGGAACTTGATTACTGGAGGTAAGCACACTATAATATACGTTAGTTAAAATGCTATACACATGAAACATACGGGGTCGGGATGGGAACACATGTAAATCCACGGCTGATTCATGTCAGCGTTGGCAAAAACCACTACAGTATTGTAAAGTAATTAGCCTCCAACTAATAAAAATAAATGGAAAACATACAATGTTATAAACCAAACGAATATTTTTTTAAATGTTACCTTAAAGCAAGTATTTTTTTTTAAATGTTCACCCACAAACAGATTTCCTAGTTATAATCATTTTAAAGTTACTTAAAGGAGAAATACTATGACTAATTTTAAGGGAAGCTAAAACAGTATACCAATTTTCCCTCTAGCTCTGCTTTTCTGAAAAGAGAAACAGATCTATAAATTTTACAGTAGAGGGTTCATAAATATACATTTAAATAGCTATATTAAAGTATTCGAATGGTGTGAACTCGTACTCATTTAAAAATAAAATCAAACAAAACTTAAATCAAATTCAACCACCTATACTCCATTTTAGCAATTTTCTCAAAATGTATTTCTCTTAAACATCCCACCATCACTCCTCACCTAGTCAAATTTTACTCTTCCTTTAATAACAAACTTGATATCACTTCTTTGGGTCTTCCTCTTAAATTCTCAATTTAAATCAAGTCCCTCTAAAATAATTACAATCGCACCTATTTTTGAAACACTTTTGTTCATAACTGTGCAAGCTGATTTCTAGCAGAAACTGTTATGTATTACATATAAGTGAATAGTTCTCAACTGAGTAATTATAATATTCACAAAATACAAAATTACACATAAATGTCATATCCTAAGACACAGCAGATAGTAGCTGTTTTTCAAAAGACAATTTAAAAAGCAAAAAAATTAAGAATATAGATATAAGGCAATCTTTATGTCCTTTAAGTAAGGAATCAGAATCATGTTACTTACTAAGAATTTTAGCATAGTAAAGTAAAAAAATATTAACAGCAATAAAAAGGAATCTCTATGAATTAATGGAAAGTAAAACGAAAAGAATTAACCTAAATTAGCATCCAACGGATGACAACACAAAGAGGAATTAGTCCTAGAATATTTAAAAAGTGTGATTTGACATTATTTCTATAGTGGGATATATCCTAAGGCAAAAAAAGTGCCACCCGAAAAACCTATTTTCAGTATCATATTGTTGATGGTGGTACTGGTATTAAATTCTGTGACCACTGTGACCAGTGTGAGACAAAGAAAGTAAGCATTATGTTGATATCACTAACAACTGGGATTTTCAGCATGGAAAAAAAATGATACATATTAAAGATCAATACAGGTAAGTAAAATTCTCATAAGCCCTAAGTTGAATTTGAAATAAAAATATGAATTTATATCTTTTCATTTGAATATATAACATTTCTCAGTTCTGTCCACTGTATAGGCTTAAGTACAAGGATCAACCCAAAAGCAAGTAACATCATAGATTAGAATGTGTGCTTAGTTGCTAAGTAATGTCCAATTCTTTATGACGCCGTGGACTGTAACCTGCCAGCCTCCTCTGTCCAGGGGATTTCCAGGCAAGAATCCTGGGGTGGGTTGCCATTTCCTTCTCCAGGAGATCTTCCCCACCCAGGGATTGAACCCGAGTCTCCTGCATTGCAGGCAGATTCTTTACCACTGAGCCACCAAGGAAGTCCATAGACTTTTATTCCATTTTATTGGGATAGAGCCTCCAAATACCTTTCTCAATATAAGAAAGCAGAACTAATTTTAGCTCTGAAGCAGGAAATATACAAGACAAGCCTTTAATTTCCTTGTTCCAGCAGACAGTAAGAAGGCTATAAAAGACAACTAGAATCTTGTCAAATGATCTCAAAATCCAACTTGAATAGGTTACAACCAACCAATGGGCCAACTTGTACACTAATAAAGACAATAATGTCAATGCACTGAATTTGTCAATGCACGTAAATATAAGTCCAACAACTCATAAGAATACAAAAATTTTAAAGCCTTATGAGTCATTTTGGAGGCTATTAGAGACCAAACTCATTATTTTAAAAACAAGAAAATAAAGGGGATGATCAAGCAGTTATGCTGCCTTTTTAATATGTACATTAGGATAATCAAATAGTTGATGGCAGGGTTACTTTACAGAATAATCTATCAAATAAATGAACAAAGAATTTTATTATTTTGTAACATCTAATGAGTTAATCGGTTAAAGCAACAATCAATGGCTGCTATGTCAAAAGAAAGAAACAATCAGACTGATGAAAGTATACACGAAGTAGTCCTGCCCACCCTAACAAACAAAAAACAAATCTGAATCTGATTAATTATCTAGATCTATCAAAGTATAGGAGATTCAGAGAACAGAGGAATAGGTTAAATGACACCAAGGAGATGCAAACAACAAAAGCCACACTATGGTAAATTCTCTTAAGACAAATAACCCAGGTTTTCAACAAAACAAATATGGGGGGAGGGAAGAGGTCTTTTGCAAATTATAACTGGGAAAATGTAAACTGTGTATCTGATTATATAAAGGATTACTTTTTAATAAACATGATAATGACATTTCACAATGTCTGGAACTTGCTCCAAAATAATCCCAGAAAGAAAGCTGGGGTGGGTAGGAAGTATAGATAAAAATAAGATTGCTACAAATTGATAACCATTAAAACTGTATAATGGGTGCATGTGGGTTTATTTTTGTATTAGCTTGAAAGTTTCTTCTTAAGAACATTTTTAAAGCCAAATGTAAAACAAGTCTGACTAGTTAATTAAAAAGAAAAGAAAGCAACATTCTATGAAGAAAAGGAATAAATAGGAAATCCTCGTGCTCCCATTTTGCATCCTGATCTGTATAATATAAAGACAGATGTAGGATATAGATACAGTATAGATAACTTACTGATGCCTCCTCAACAGCAGTGTTCATATGGCTATGAAAACAGGATCGGTCATCATCTTCATCCATATACACTGGTGGTTCATGGGAAGTCATGAAAGTGGAAGGTTTAAAGAGATGCTTATTAAGGGGGTGTTGTCGTCTGCTTGTTGAAGACTAAGTGAAAAAACAAATTTTTAATTGGGATAGTGGACAATCATTAAAAGAATCAAAAATATAAATGCTACTTCCTGCAAGACTGTCTAATCAAAAGGATCGCACCTCTATGCTTCAGCATACTTTTTATGTGATTGTTTTTTCTGTTACCTGGATTTTTAAAAGCACAACATGCCTTAAATAAAAACAAACCAAACCAAAACAACAATCAGAAATATAGGGGGAATACCCACATGGAGTATCCTGGACCACATGCTTGCTATGAAGCTTGTATTTGTATCACCAACATTTTTCACACTCTTGGCATTCACAAGCTGAACTCTTAACATCATCTTATAGATGATCAAGGAAGATGAAGTTAGCCAAAGCCAGATACAAAACTATCAAGTAAAATGAAAATTTCTCCAACATGATGAATGTTTGAAATCAATATCTATTGACTGCTTACTCTTCATCAATGTCACTTAATCCTCAAAACATTCCCATAAAGCAATTATTATCACCTCTAATTTAAAGGTGAAAAAACAGAGGCACGAGGAAGTTAACTGTTTTGTTCAAAGTGTTGCAGCTAGAAAGTAGTAGAACCAAGATTATAAACTAGGTCTATATGGAGCCAATGGCCTCACTTTGAACCACTATGCAGACTCCCTGTCTTCACTAACAGCAAAGCCACGAATAACCTCAGCTACATGGAGAACCATTGTTTCATTTCAAAATTCAAACTCTAACCGTGGCTAGGAATCATAACTATGACTGGGCCAGATCTCTAAGTCAAAATATCTGTTAAATTCCCAAAGGAGGAAACACATTTAGGCTTCTTTAGTATTCTTTTTGTTAACATCATCTAGTTTTAGTGGTGAAAACATGAGGTGTACAACACATCTAAAGGTAACCTAGAAATCAGGACAATTAGAGCTATTAGGTTAAATGCTGGTTATTAAAGTTCCAACATTCTGAAGTTATAGGATGAATCTATCTATTACCTAAGATAGATAATGCTACATTGGGGAGAAAAAAATTCAAAGTATTTTTAAAATATGAGAAATTAAAACAAGATTCCAGAGTTTGGAAAAGAATAAAAATTTTAAAACATAGAGCTGTATAGATAATATACTTAATGTAAAATTATGTAAAATAGTTAGCTTCAATAAGGAAGGGTAACAGCATTAGATACACTCCTAGCTTCTCTTTGTATCAAAGATGGCAGTTTGGGGGAGGGAAGGGATCAGGATAATTTACCAACAAGATGAAAGAAGGACAATTACGTGTTTTTTTCCCCTTCAATTACAGCAAAAAAACTGGCTATAATTTGATGCAGTGCTCTACACAGGAGAGAGACAATAGCTTTTTCACCGTACAGAGAAGCAAAGAATGGTTGAAGCAGCTTGGGAGCAGAATCAGAAGATCAATGATTCCCAGACTCGCTAGCTATGTGACTAGACAGTTTACTCAGTGTACTTAGCTTTCTCATCTATAAAAAAGGCTGTAAAACAGGACCTAACTCAGAGCATTCAACAGTAAGAATAAAAGCTAGCTGTTAATATTATCATGAGTAAAGTGAAGGTGATACTACCCACACTTTTAAGAATTGTAGTGAAGATTAAATTGGATTTATACAACATATGTATAAAACAGAAATTGATTGTATTATTAAAGAATCAAATATCCTAAAAACTTTAACATCACAAAGGCCTTTCTGACATATACTCAATCTAATATCTTTCAAATAGTACTCACTCACATAAACTAACATACTCCTAAGAAAACACTGAAGTTCACTTATACACAATATAACAAAATGTTTAGAGTGAGTTTATTTAAAAATAAAATAATGTTCTGAATAACATATATACTTTTACACAGCAACTCTGACTTTGATGATCTTAATCTGAGATCTAAAGTTTACTTTCACCAATTTTCTTTTTACCTTTTTGGAGTATATGTATAGGTTTGGTGTTCTGCCTGGGACTGGAATCCCAGCTTTAGTTAGTTTTATGAAATACTTCTGCACTCGGCTGGCAACCTAAGGAAACATGACAAGCCTTTTAACATAATGAATGACAAGACACTCAGTACCAAAATAGTTTTTAAAACATACAGTACCTTAATGAATAGTAACAACTTAATAGCTACATAAATCTAGAAGTAATTTTAAATTGCCACAAAAGACACTTAGATTTTAAAATATAGACCAAAAATATTGTTAAATTAAATGTTTCATTCCTAAGCTAAATACATCTTCAACTTGTAAACATTCGTGCATGAGCATAAAAACACATCTATTAATATCAATGGGAATGTGAAGTTTCAGCTGGCAGATATTTTTTTAGAAAGACAACCAGGGAATACTAATTAAGGCATTATCACAAATCTATTAGCATAGTCTAACCCAAAAGCACATAACTGCTCTACTCATCAAATACTACATTTTTATTTTTTAGTATTTTGTAATGATTCAAAGCAGAACTATCTTGATTTGTTTCTAAAATCAATATAAAAATATACAATGTTATTTTTTAAAACTCCGCATACTATAGTATTATGTAGCTAAATATGAAGTGGCAGATCTGCTGATTTAAGCTGCATTATCCTTCACTTAAAAAAAAAAAATCAGGGACTTCCCTGGTGGTCCAGTAGTAAAGAATCCACCTGGCAATATAGGGAACAATAGTTCAATCCTTGGTCCAGGAAGATTCCACATGCTGCAGGGGAACTAGCCTGTGCACCACAACTACTGTATGCTACAGCCTGTGCTTCACAACAAGAGAGCCACTACAGTGAGAAGCTCACGCACTGCAGCTAGAGTAACCCCCACTTGCTACAACTAGAGAAAGCCTGCAGGCAGCAGCAAAGACCCAGCACAGTCTTTTAAATAAATAAAAAAATTAAAAACATGCCAACAATATGGAGCCATCTCCTCAGTTACCTGTTTTGCTGTCCTGTTGCCTAGTTCATCCGCTATCTTCTGCCAGCGTCGAGATTCTACTTCTTCAGGAGGGTATTTCAGGAGTAGTTGTTCAAGCTTTTTCTAAGCCAAACCAAAGACCAAATTTAAGAAAGTTTAATACTGAGTTTCTAAATAAATACATTCACCTTTCATCTTAAAAACTACAATACACCTGCCCCCCAACTTTAGGGGTAGGTCAACTAGAAATCTTCATGGTAGGAAAAGTTTCTAGTAGGAATTTAAGACTTCAAAAGGAAAATAAGAATCGAGACTAAACCGATGAAAGACCTTAGAAAGATTTTTCTATTCACCTCAGTAAAAAGAAAGCACTCCTCACAAAGGAAATATATTACACATTTTAGTGATTTCCACTGACCACATTTTCTTGCTAGACTATGTTTAGGCTAGCAACTATGGATCTGACAAAACTATATCAAAATTCATCTGTATTCTGACAAAATACTAAAAGAGATCTTTTCCTCCTTTGTGTGATCATCTATTTAAGTATTTAACTTTAATATTCTGACTTATCTTCAAAATTCTCCAGTAGTCCTAAGGATGCAGAATATTCTGGATGTTGAAATAAAAGGAATGTTATCACCCAGCTATCCCAGTGTGCAGGATCAGCTTTTAGGCACCATTGATTGGTATTATCTCTGCAGAGCTGAAGACCAATAAACCGCCTTGGAGACTGGAGTGTGTGCTACAAATAATCTTCTTATCCTATCTTAGCATAGACTTGGCTAAAGGAGTTTTTAACAGGTGGGCTTCCCTGGTAGCTAAGATGGTAAAGAATCTGCCTGCGTTGTAAGAGACCAGTGTTCAATCCCTGAATCGGAAAGATCCCCTGGAGAAGGAAATGGCAACCCACTCCAGTATTCTCACCTGGAGAATCCCAAGGACAGAGGAACCTGGCAGGAGACAGTGTATGGTGTTGCAAAGAGTCAGACACGACTAAGCACACACGCACAGGCTTCCCAGGTGGCACTAGTGACAAGGAACCTGCCTGCCAATGCAGGTGACAGAAGAGATTCGGGTTTAATCCCCTGGTTGGGAAGACCCCCGAGAGAAGGAAATCCCCCGGTAGGCTATAGTCCATGGAGCCGCAAAGAGTCAGACATGACTGAGCATGCATGCACTTGGGCAAAGAATCTGCCTGCAACGCGGGAGACCCAGGATCAATCCCTGGACTGAGATGATTATTCCCTGGAGATGGAAATGGCAACCCACTCCAGTATTCTTGCCTGAAGAATCCCATAGACAGAGGAACCTGGTGGGCTACAGTCCGTAGGGTTGCACAGAGTCGAACACGACTGAAGTGACTTAGCACAAAGTTTTTTATAAACTAGATCAACTCATTACAGCTGTGGGGCTAATCTTCATATGAAATAGAGATATATCTCAAACCTTACCCACAAACAATCCTAGCTATATGCCCAAATGTAACAGAATACTATGACCTTGCTTTTTCAGCTCCTCTCCAAACAAAAGAATTCACTTTGAAGTATAGCTTTACTTGGCTCCAGGTTTTTCTGTCTTACAAAGCTGTATTACAAAAACTTTATCCCATCTGTTCCAGTATCTTTTTCAAGCCCCCTCCCAAAACCCAGGTTCCTTCTTTAGAAACCATCCCCTAAATGGAAATCACATATTCTCAGAATGAAAAATTCTTTACATAAGCAAAAAGGTATATAGAAATGAGTTTAAATATTTAAAATTCATGATTAAGAGGGATTGCATACAACAGTATACACTTCCCAGGTGGTGCTAGTGGCAAAGAATCCATCTGCCAATGCAGGAGACATAAGAGACACAGGTTCGAACTCTGGGTAGGGAAGATCCCCTGGAAAAGGGCATGGTAACCTACTCTAGTATTCTTGCCTAGAGAATCCCATGGAGAGATGAGTCTGGCAGACTACAGTCCATAGGGATGCGAAGAGTCGGACACAACTGAAGTGACTCAGCACGCATGCACGCACACACACATACAATAATATACACTTTATTCACAATACTTACTCTAATTTTAACTGCTTTTTTTTTAACCTACACAATCGAGAAATATCTATTACCTGTTCTTCAACGGTCCACAATTGGTTAAATGTTTCAGGTTTGGTATCATCACACAGGCGTCCTCTTATCATCTGCATATAAAATAAGGCTTTTGTCAGAGACAAAAAAACAAAGACTACTCTTTGATATAGCCAAACAACACATGAATGATGACAGCAACTTCATTTTAAAGAAAAAGAAATGCTACTTTTTCATTCTGAACCCACATTTATCAAGGTTCATCTAATTTAACAGCAGCAAGGCCAGGTTACCAGCAAATCCTGGTTACATTCCACTACACACAAAGAGCTCTTATTTTTAGAATAAATACTGTACTATGTGTCAGGCACTGAACTCATCATGTTACAGGTACTACTCATTATAATCCTCACAACAACTCTACAACATAGGGTGATATTAATCACATTTTATATAAGAGGAAACTGCAGCCTGGAGACTTGAATAGAAACAACCTTCTGAAGTTCTACTGTTAGTAAGTAATGGAGTTGTGATTTCAACCCAGCTTTTTCTTAACTTCAAAGTTCATGTCCTTACTATACCTTCAAGTGAAGACTGCTTGAAATTTAAGAATACAAGTCAGCAAATGTTAAAATCTTTTGTCTAAAATTCAAATTTTCCTACTCCAACACTTCATACTGCCTACCTGAGGACGACTGTTTGAGCCTTCTGGACCATCACTCAAAGGCAACATAGAGTATGAAAGGGACTCTCCATCCTTCCTAGGATCTAAAGGACTTTTTGGTCTAGCAGGTAAACCTACTAAAAAGAAAACCATGTATAGGATTATTAAAGCAAGACTTTGCCAGGTATTTTTCTACTTAAATTATCATGTAATTTATTACCTTTATCAAAAACTAGCTTTACTCTCCTAGTATGCCTTTTACGATTTTTAAATTCTCTTTCAAAGTTTCCAAGGCTATTGGTATATTGGTCCCATACAATCTCAGGTAACTGAACAACTCTCTGTGGATATGGAAGCCCTATATCAGCCTGGTGGGAGGAAAAAAAGAAAGTGACATCTAAGGTTAATTCAAGAAATTATCAACAATAGGCAAATTTTCAGATGATTACAAATCTAAATAATAATCAACTGGCATTTCTATTCACTCTGAATCCAACAGTCAATAAAGATAATACAGTCAAAGCATTAAATGGTATAATGATAGCCACGTTAAGAAAAATGAACTTAACAAAACATAAGCACTATTTTTAGATAGAGGTCTACAGCTCAACTATACAGACATAATGTTCTTTAATACACTTAAACAGAAATAGCAAAGAATGGTTATCTCTAAAAACAGCATATGAAATGTGTTTGACTGAAATAGATATGACCTGACACACAGAATTCATTTTAAATGAACCCCTGTGTTCCTGACTTATTCACAAAACAATGAATTATTTTCATATTATATCACTCTTAAGACACGTACAAAAAAACCTACCACATTTTGAGAATCAAAACTATACTTTACTTCGAATTCAGTTACTTTACCAGCCACCTTCAGAGAAGTTATTAGTTGTCATTACTAAAACCAGGTTATTACGTGATCAGTCTTTTGATAGGAATTTGGGTTACATAGGTGGGGGTATTGGTCAGAACTCATAGAATGATAAAACTGGGATTTCTGAATTTCACTGTATGTAAATTTCACCTTAAAAATCTTTTTAAAAATTTAGTTAATAATATGCACTCTGAAGTGTTTTGGTGTTAAGTATGTGTGTCTGCAACTCTGGAATGCATGAAATGGATTCCATCTTGAAATGAGATAGAATGGTGGGTGGATGGACGGGTTGAAAAAACACACAATAAAGCAAATACAGTAAAATGTTTATTGTAGAATCTAGAGGGTGGATGTGGGTATTAACTATATAATATTTTCTACTTTTTTGTCTACTTAACACTTTTCATAATAAAATGTTGCTTAAAAAAATCAGGTCATAAATTATGAAACTGGCAAGCAAAGTTCACACTGTGACACAGAATTCTTAATTTTTATTTTGCCTGTGATACAGTACACTACAACCATCACTATAATAGCATATTTCAGTCTAAGACTCAACTTTTTGAAAAGTTAGAATAGAGTGTCTTTTAAAACAAGGATTGTAAAACATCAAAAGAAAGCTAACAAGCCATAAAGGTTCCCTGCATTCTATGTACCAATATATAAACCAAGTTTCCTTAATTTCAACTAGGAGTTTTCAGATGTTCACTAAAACAATGAGATCATATGTCAACAACTTAACTACTATGGTAAACTTAAAGAAAGTAGGCAAATTAAGCATACATGAGTTAACACAAAAAAACTAAAGAATCAAACCTCTAAATTAAAACCAGCAGAAAATTTTCTTTCCAAGGAACACAAGTCTTTCATGATTACCAATGTATCTGGGATTTAATACACATTTGAACATTTTTGCAAAAAATTTTAAGAGGGTCAATGTCACATCCCTGTTTCTGAGACAAAGTGAAAAGAAATCTAGTTCTAAACTAAACATGGACATGGAAAATCAGCAGATAACCAACCACATACGTATATAGTAAATGTGTGTAATTACAACTTTTTTGCCCATCCAACAGCTGAAAAAAATGAGTTTAAGACTAAAGCACAATCTATTTTAGTTGAATCCATGATAAGTAAACACTATAAGTGTTCATAAAATGAAGTCCCCAAGACTGCTGCCTCAACACTTGGTAGACCACTTCTGTGACTCATTAATAACTAATAACTAAACTTGTCATACAAAACAGGCTAAATTTGTGCGTTAAGGTGAAAAAGAAGATTCTTTTTCATAGTTTTTCAGTTTTAATCTTTTCAGACAACGCTTTTGTCTGACTAATATTTACCTCTCAAATTTATTGAATAATTTGTGGGTCCCTAATTCAAGACAAATACTACAGCATAAACGCACATCTTATACCTCATTCTCATGAACTTGGCAACCATATCCTTAAAAACATTTAAAATAGAACTTTTCTTTGTATCACCATTGTTTCTACTGCTTTTAGAGTAAATAAAGCAGTAAATAAACACTAAAAATACTAAAATATTTTTTCTTTTAGTTTCAATAAACTTAGAAGTTCTGAAAGCAAAAAAGGGAAAATATTTTAAGATGGGTAAGGAAAAAAGTAACAGAAAAAGACTAAAAATGGCTAGAAACAGGACATCAAGTTTCTATACAAGCATCCAGTTAAAGGTCCTAGCTATCTTCACTGGTGGTATACTTATTGTGCGTTTGGTGGGGGTGAAGGAAGGCAGTATCCCACCTTCAGTAACATGGTTAAACATTTTAAAAAGTATTCATATAAAAAGAATAAATAAGGTTATTACCAAATATATCTCAATAAATTTAAAAAGTGGTCAAAATATACCTTCTTCTGGAGTTTTTCCACAAATCCAATGGGATTTTTTAGTGCTTCTCTCTGATGTCTGCCTAAACTTTCAAGGTCCTGGACTGCTTGAGAACGCTGAGCTTCGAGTACAGCAATTGTCTGTAACAGTCTCTGATAACTACAGAGACAAAAAGAAAAAAAAAAACTCACTAAAATTTTTTAGTAACAACAATAAATAAAAACTGAGTTCAAGCCATGATCTACTATTAAGTCACACATCTTTGTAAAGTTACCTGAAAGAGTTTTAGTAAAACATATTACTGGGAATAAATGAGGTCTTCCTGAGTTACGAAGTACCTAGTCAGAAAATATCAGTTAGAGAAAGCAAAGCCTTATTCCCCCGTCTTAAATTCTTAATTCTTAAACCTGAACAAGTACAGAAAATAAGAAAACGAGCATCTTGACTTTCAAGCAATCAGTCATTTAAGAAACAGCTAAATTAGAAAAAAATTTAGCATCAGAAGGGATCACCACTTTCAGCCCCTCTGCTGTACCCTGTCAGAATAAGATATCTGTGGCAAATTTTCTTGACCAGAGTTACAAGAAACTTTCACATAATTCAGACATGATCTTAGTTGTCATGATTCTCATTTGTTCTTTCTGTTGATGTTTAGTCGCTAAGTCACGTCCAATTCGTCTGCAACCCCATGGACTGTAGCCCACCGGCTCCTCTGTCCATGGGATTTCCCAGGCAAAGATACTGGAGTAGGTTGCCAATTTCTTCTCCAGGGGCTCTTCCCGACCCAGGGGTCAAATCTCGTGTATTCTGCTTGGCAGGTGGATTTTTTACCACTGAGCCACCTGGGAAGCCCATTCTTTCTGTTATATCTCCATTCTAAAGGAATTTAACTTCTTTGTCAATTCTTACATAGTAAACATTTTCACAGAAAAAAGGACTCACGTAATATAAATTACTTAATATTTCTTGAGTAAAAAGAAATATTTTTTACTTCCCTGCCTATAAATACGTTAATATGAATTTTACCCACATAAACCTACTACCTGTTCATATTCTCCCCAACTCTCTCCCTCTGGTTCGCACTATCCTGGCTCTCTGAGTAAAGTCTGATTTCACATATGGATCACATATGGAAACACGCTAGTCCAAAAACCTTGAATGCTCGAATGTATTTTGCAAAAAGAACAAAGAACAAATTGCTCCAAGTTCACTTCAAAATAAGTTACTAGGTTTTTAAAATATTAGTGAAGCACCACTGTTCTTTATGACTTTGAATAAATTTCATTCTATTTCCCAACAGACTGTAAACTCCATAACGGCAACATATCTGAAAAGTCCACTGTTTCATTTATCCAGTTTGCAGCACACTTCCCAGCATACACATGTTCAGTAAACATTTTTTGAATGAACAAATGGATAGATGTTCTGTGCAATCAAAAGTATACTGAAACTTCAAAGTCCAGAAGTCAGCAAACAAGCAGAAATTTCAAAGGAAAAGCAATGCAGTTTTGATGTCCACAACCATGGCATGACTGCAGTATAACAGTTATCTATCAAAACACTTTTTCAGCCCCTACCTAAAATATATTCTTATTCTCAAGTCCTCTGTTAACTAATCCCTAATGAAATGTTTAATAATTAATATTAAAACTGCTAACACTGAAAAGTAAGACTTATCTCAAGATAGAGCTACTTCATTCAAACGTTAGAATTGAATCAGAAAGCAAGGGCTACATTTAAAGTTACTCCTGGGGTAAGTTACAGAGGTTAAGTCTAAACTCATTTTCACTCTGCCTTCGTTTGCTTTGAGGTATATGGAGTGTACAAACCTTGACTGTGCTGGTATTTTCTACCAGGCAGGCTCAATCTTAGGGTGACTGTAGTGAGTTGAGTACTAGACCTAACCTCTCTATTAATACCCTTAACTGTCCTACTTCACCCTCAGAATGTCTATCCCACTTAGCTGAATAACCAAAGACTTATGCAGGATACACTTCTGTATCATCAATAAAAAAATGGTTGAGTCTATTAAACTTGCAGCAAACTATTGCACGAAAGTAACAATGAGGCACAAGTAAGAAGAGACTTATGGGGGAAAAAAAGCAGGAACTTGAAAAAAGCACTATAACAGTTACTGCAACTGAGAAGAAAGGTGTCTCTTTGAAGTTAATAACTTCTGACAATCTTTACTACATATAAATTATTCCACAATGATTCTAACTTAAAAAAATAATCCAACAGAGATGACAAAGTGTAACTCTTCACTCCCTATTTTTTTTTCTCTTTAATCAAAATTAAATGATTATCAAATTGAAAGGCCTAGTCCATACAGTGGTAAAGATGTAAAAGTCCAAAATAAGTTAAAAGATTGTAAGAAAATACTGAATTTAATTCTTCCAGCCCAGCTAATTTGAACAATTTCCTAGAGTATTCAGAGGTTTTCCCAATAAGATTACCATATATATCCCTAAGCAGAAATGAAAGAGATTAAAAAACTAGCCTAGAATACATGTAAATCCATGGCTAATTCATTTCAATGTATGACAAAAACCACTGCAATGATGTAAAGTAATTAGCCTCCAACTAATAAAAATAAATGGAAAAAAAAAAAAACTTGCCTAGATATCTTTACCTATGGCTGATTCACGTTGATGTATGGCAGAAACCAACACAACATTGTAAAGCAATTATTCTTCAATTAAAAATAAAAAAATCAAAACAGAAAAAACCCACAAAACTTGCATGGTTTCCTACTGGTCCAGCGGTTAAGGATGCACTCTGCAATGCAGGTGACATGGTTTCAACCCCTGGTCAGGGAACTAAGACCCTACACATCCTGGGACAACTAAGCCCTCACGCCGTAACTAGGTAATCTGTGTGATACAGCTAAAGATTTGACTCATTCAAATAAATAAGTGCAGTTTTCAAATCTGAAGAATAAAAATAAATTTCTTTGGAACTTCCCTGGTAGTCCAGTGGTTAAGACTCCACGCTTCCATTGCACAGGGTGCAGGTTTACTCACTGGAACTAAGATCCCATGTGATGCAAGGTACAACAACAAAAATATATAAATAATAAATATTAAAATAAAGTTCTTCAGTCTGAAAACGCTGTATGTTACAATTCCAATAATATTAAATTCTGTAAAAGATAAAATTAAAGATAGTAAAGAGATCAGTAGTTCCCAGAAGTTCAGGGGAAGGAGAAGGGTTGAGTACATGACATACAGGGAATTTTTAATACCAGTGAAATTATTCTGCATGGTACTATAATGCTGGATTCATGACATGGATCTGCCAAAAGCGTAAAACTTAAAAGCATCAAGAACTTTAATGTATGCAAATTTTTAAAAAATCATTTAGTAGATTAGGGAACCCTAAGAAGGAACGTATTCTCTGACACAAGGATCTAAGTATATTATACATGTATGAAACTACCTTACTGAAGGGGGTAGAAGGAAAAGATCCTGACTGAGGTAACTCTGGAAATGAGTAGCATCTCAAAGACTAAAGGTAAAAGGAACTGATCATAAGCAATATATTCTGCTTTACATAGCTATTTCCCAAGTAGCTAAAATGAACAGTTCTAATACTGTGTACATATATAATGGAATAAACAAATGAGTGGAGGATGACCAGGGTTTGCTATTGCTAGAATAGAAATTTACAGATAAACAAGGGGAGAAGCTAGAAGAATCTATGTGGTAATATAATTAATTAGGGATGGAGTCAAAGTATAAACTTATGTTTAGCTTTATATACATGTACATAATTACATATAGAAGTATTTATAGATATGTGTATATATACAGATTACTGAATACACATGTATTTTCCTGCTCTGCCAGCTGAGACATATAAATAAAATAATCAACAGCATCCAGCAGTGAGCATCCAGAACTCAAAAACTGACTTCTAATACTGCCTTCTGCAATAAAAGGAAATGGGGTTCCTTTGCTGGGAAGGCTGATTCTAGCACTGGGACACAAAATACACAAGATGAATCTGGAGTATTTTGAAGTGCCAAAAAAGCAAGAAAGTGTCTGAAAGACAAATATATATAACAAAAGTACACCATCTTAATGGGACACAGGAGACAATAGAAAGGTTCCCTATAGCCAAAGCTGAAACAGTTTGAACAATAAAACAGTGATACTAAATTACACTCCAAAGTATTTATGAGTCTATACTTACACAAATAAATGACTAAAGGAAGAATGAGGGAGAGGGAGAGTGAGATGAAGAAGTGGGGGGTGGGGGGAGAGAAAGAAAAAAGGGAGGAAAAAAAAATCTCCCATGTAGAAGGTTTCCAAATAATTTGTGGAGACACTCTGCTCTCAAGGAGAGAGATCCATAACTTCCCACTCCTTAAGTGTGGGCTGGGCATAGTGACTTCTTTCCAAACAACAGAGTATGGAAGACAGAGAGTAACTTCACAGTGGAGAAACCTGACAAACTATACCTCAGCTAGGTGATCCAGGTCAACAACTGCAATCAATCATATTAACAGTATATCTCTTGGGAAAAGCTAAAATTGTCATTATATACAGATGACATGATACTACATATAGAAAACCCTAAAGACTCTACACAAAAACTACTAGAACTGATAAATGCATTCAACAAATTAGCACGATACAAGACTAACATACAGAAATCGGTTGCATTTCTTTACATTAGCAATGAAATATCAGAAAGGGAATGTAAACAAACAATCCCTTTTAAAGTCACATCAAAAATAAAATAATTAGGAATAAACCTGACCAAGAAGGTGAAAGACTTAAATTCTGAGAAGTTTTAAACATTAATAAATATCATAAACATTAATAAAGAAAACAGAACATGATTCAAAAAAATGAAAAGATCCCATGTTCTTGGATTAGAAGAATTAATTGTTAAAATGGTCATACTACCCAAAGCAATCTACAGATTTAATGTGATCCCTATCAAATTACCAGTGATATTTTTTTATAGGCCTAGAACAAATAATCCTAAAATTTCTATAGGACCAGAAAAGACCCAAAGCAACCCTAAGGAAAAAGAACAAAGCAGGAAGCATAACCCTCCCAGACTTCAGACAATACTACAAAGCAGAGTAGTCAAGACAATGTGGTATTGGCATAAAAACAGAAATATGGATCAATGGAACAGAATAGAAT